TATGAGCCCCCGAGTCTGCATAGCCTTGGACTGGGATGGGCTTAGGCTGATCACTTGGACTCCCAAATCTCACAAGGCTTTCTGGACCAGTGAGGAACTCTGACAAAGGAATGCAACTGAGATTAAAGGGATGAGGGTCTCTGGTAAATTGGAACAATCACCCCAAAGTCCAGCACGCTTGGGTACCCCAAAGCCATAAGGAACCTGGAGTCCTGGGGGTCAAGGTGGGCCCAGTTGCTAATAGCCACACAGTGCCAGAAGGAGCAGAGGAAGACTATCCTTTGGTCCCCTCTGATGCCCCAATGTCAACTTCTGACCACACTTCTTGGTCATTTGTGCCCTTTCCAGCTCTTCAGTTCTCCAGCTGAATTTTAGCCAGCTCAGATGGACACAGTGCGTATCCACTATGTCCTGCCTTAGTAGAATGACAGTGTCAATTAACCTGTTAGACCTCCATTCTTGGGTTGGTGGATGTTAACTGGGTTCCCTGGCAGCAAGGGCATGTCCTACAAGTGCTGGGGTATGGATGGCAGGTGACCCAAGGTGTCTGCTGCCCAGGAAAGCCTGTGGCTGCAACCAGTTCTGTTGCTGAGGTCTTTTGAGAGACAGTATTCTGTAAATCCCAGACAGCCCTGGGAGGCTGCATTGGAAAGAAAGGGCCAAACCAAGCTGGCCCAGAAGTCCTCAAGGGTGTAGTTCCCCCTGCCCTGCCCAGGCTTCCTACAGCCTAGAGCCCATCCCCTGTCCTCCCTCCAGGGACCAGATGAAAAGGGGCCCAGAGGTGCTGAGGTCACAATGTCTTTATTAATGTGTAAGGGCATGGTGGGGATGGGAGGCTCAGTGGTCACACAGCATAATGCCTGGGGTATCCATGACTGGTTTCCAAGGCACAGGTATAGTGGCCAATGCTGCTCTCCCCAAGAACAGTTGATGCTCAGGGCAGCCAGGAGGACAGTCCAGCTTTCCACAGATTCCCCCATGGCCCTGTCAGCTCCTTTTGTGTAACTTGGTGGCTTTCTGTCGGTAGATCTCAGCAGTGAAGGGCCTGTGGGCAGGAAAAGGCTCCAGTGGGGGGCTCTGGGACACTACCCCAGCACCAGAACCTGCCCCACCAGTAAGGATAGGACCCACACTCCCACTGTCTCCCAGAACTTCCCCAGAGGCTTCAAAGAGCAAGAGGGGCCTGGAGGGACCAGGGCCACCTGCTTGCCTGCCTAGGTCTCAGGTACCAGTGTCCCTCCCCACCCCAGCCTGGTGAAGCTTGCCAAGCCACATGAAGCAGTTCTGAAGATAGGCTTGGTCTAACCTGGCCATCACATCCATCTCCCACACTCCACCACAGCTCTACTCACTCCTCATACAGGAGAGCCACCACGTAGACGAGTGCCACCAGCACCGTTAGCAGCAGGCCTGTGGGACTGGCGTGCCTGCAGACAGACATACCATCCGTTGGTAGAACTTAGACACTCCTGCAACATAGTGGGTTGGTCCTGGGCTGATGCTGGGATCACTCGGGATGAGCTAAGCCTGGAGGTGGCCCTGATTTTCTAGAGGTTCACGGAGACAGGAGGGGATGAGGGACACCTTTTCAGGTAGTCCCTGCTTCTTAGCCT